TCGTAAAGATAGAAACAATTTCTTCCTCCTTCGGGACGAGCGCCTCGATAAATTCCCTCGATCTCTAATACAAAACGGCCTTTGCGGCCTTTGCGAAGAGTTTTCTCGCGTGGCGTTTGTTATGGAAGACCCCATGATACCCTTGAGAATTTTCAATCCCGATTCTAAAGCAATAACCATTTTCTTAAAAGAAAAGAAAAAGACTCTCTACTCTTTTACTTCCTACTTCCTAAATAAAATTCAAAACGTTAATTACAAACAAATTTACAATTATAAATATAACCAATTGTAATTTATGATTGTTTAAAATATTGATTCGTTTCCATTTCCAAGGAAATTTAATTCCAATTTCTCTTTAGAAGAGACATTTGTAAAATAATTGTTTCTGCGTTTATTATCATTTACATAATTATATTCTATAAATTGAAAAAATTAGAAGGTTAGCAGATAACAATCGAATAAAAAAACGAACGAAAAATTTCGTGTACATCTATCAAATTATGTTCCGCTCATAAAAGTCTTAACAGCTTAACATCCACATAGAGACCGTTTCTCGTGATTATTACGAAAATTAAAATTTACTAGTCTAAAAACCTTTACAAGACAATACCATTTTACAATCTTGTGCGTTTTTTCTTAGGTGACATTATGACCACTTGGAAGAAGTTGTTTCTAATACCGCGGAAGAACTGAAGAAATTGAGGAAATGTGAGCTTTCTTAAGTCGAGCTTAGAACAAGGAGAAACATCGCAAGAAATCCGAAGAAATTTCTCAACAATTGCAATTTGTTACGATCACGACTAGAATTAAAATTAAATTTTCACTAGAAAGATTTAAGATAGGCATCTCGCAAACTTTTCGCGCGTAAAACGATAAAAGTTTCATTTCACTTGCGTATACATACGTGCCGGAATTCTCGGAAATACCTCATTTTATTCTGTTCTTCCGCGTTCTCGTGTACACAAATTCCTACCGTCGTACAATTTTTCGCTCGGTTTTCTTTTCGTGAAAATTACGATAC